CAGCAGCAGCTGTTGCAGCAGCAACAGTTACAGCAACAGCAGCTACTGCAGCAGCAGCAAGAACAGTTGCAACAGCAGCAGCCAGAGGAGGAGGAAGAAGTGGAGCTGGAGCTCATGCCAGTGGATCTGGGGTCCGAGCAGGAGCTGGAGCAGCAGCGACTGGAATTGGAGCGGCAACAGGAGCTGGAGAGACAGCAGGAGCAGCGGCAGCTGCAGCTCAAACTGCAGGAGGAGCTGCAGCAACTGGAACAGCAGTTGGAGCAGCAGCAGCAGCAGCTGGAGCAGCAGCAGCTGGAACAGCAAGAGGTGCAGCTGGAGCTGACTCCAGTGGAGCTGGGGGCCCAGCCGCAGGAGGTGCAATTGGAGCTGACCCCTGTGCAGCCGGAACTGCAGCTGGAACTCGTGCCTGCCTCAGGAGGTGACGGGGCTTCAGTACCAGGGGCTCCGGCCACAGTTGTGGTGGCCCCACCAGGCTACGTGGTGGTGCAGGAGCTCATGGTGCTCCCAGCCGTGACCACACCTGCAGTGATGGCCATCCCCGGCCCTGCGGGCAGCGCAGCCCTGACTCCAGCGCGGCAGCGGCGGCGGCGACGTGCCCGGGACCGACCAACCATCTGCGGGGAGTGTGGCAAGGGCTTCAGCCGCAGCACGGACCTGGTGCGGCACCAGGCCACGCACACGGGCGAGCGGCCGCACCGCTGCAGCGAGTGCGGCAAAGGCTTCTCGCAGCACTCCAACCTGGTGACGCATCAGCGCATCCACACGGGCGAGAAGCCCTACGCCTGCTCCTACTGCTCCAAGCGTTTCAGCGAGAGCTCAGCGCTCGTGCAGCACCAGCGCACCCACACGGGCGAGCGGCCCTACGCCTGCAGCGATTGCGGCAAACGCTTCAGTGTCTCGTCCAACCTGCTGCGCCACCGGCGCACGCACTCGGGCGAGCGGCCCTACGTCTGCGAGGACTGCGGCGAGCGCTTCCGTCACAAGGTGCAGATCCGCCGCCACGAGCGCCAGCTGCACGGCGCTGGCCGCTCCCGGGGCCTGGGCCTGCTCCGCAGCATGCGCACGGCCACCGGCGCGCCCCCGCGCCCTGAGCAGGCCCCGTGACAGGGGCGTCGAGGAGGAGCAGAGCGCTGCCTCTGGGGAGCCCTGCCAGGGGGGCTGCCTTGACACCCAGGGATCGCCAGAAAAGACTTCATTTTCCTCCCGGAGTAGAACTGGGGGTCAACCGGCCCCAAATTCCCCATAAAAACACTTCCCAGAGGAAAGCCTTTGTGGGTAAAACAGCACACCCGTTGCACAGCACTAGAAACGGCACAAGGCGAGAATCTGGTTTTGGATACCGTGGTAAGAGGCAGTCACCGCTTTCCCCGGGAAAATTGGACTTAGCAGAAACCGAGAACAGGAAAAGAAAACTGTGCTGACAAGCGTGACAAGCGGCGACATGTGACACAGATCAAGCACTAAGCAGGGAATCAAATCTATGTGGTAAGACACACATCAAAAGGATTTGATCCTGGTGAAAATTATTTCAAGGAAATAAATTTATCTGCACTATGGAGAAAACTGATCAAGGCATCAAATTGTCCTCAATGGCATTTGCCTTGAAAATACTTTCTATAATGAAAATTCCTCAGGATGGCTGTTATCCTGATTAAATATTTGTGTTCATAAACACAGATCAGTTTCCACTGGGTCAATGTGCAAATGCCAGGAAGCCCTGCTCCACGCGGCAGGCACAACCTTCCCTCCAGGGTCGTCCAGGACCCCCAGCGCGGAGGCGGGCTCTGGCTCTTTGCTGCCATGGTCTTTGCCCACTGCGGCCCCTTAAACATCCCCTTGAGCAGAACCTGTGGCTGAAGCAGAGGGCATCTGGGCCGTGCTCACCTGGGTCGGAAGGCGAGGTCGCTGAGAGTCGCCCAGCTCAGCCCTGCTCTGCCTGCGCTTCACCAGCTCTGGACTTCGCAGGCTGCCCAGGGCCAGGCTCTGGGGCTGGAGTCCTGAGACCCAGGGGCAGGATTCTGGACCCTGCTAGGCGGGGCTGGCCTGACCAGACCTGCCACATTGCTGGGGGTCAGAGGGAGAAGGTTGGGGTTGGCCACAGAGCGCGGGCACAGAGTGTCTGGGCCCACAGAGCGGCCTCCCTGAGCGGGGACAGCAGAGGGAGGTGGAAGAGGCTGCCTGCCAGCTCTGGTCCCCAGATGCTTCCTGCTCCAGCCCTCCCACGCGTGGCTGCTTACATCCCGCCCTCCCTGGTCCTCCTTTACTAACACAGCCTGCTACTTGTACCAGTGTGTTGGAAAGTGGGAGACAAAAAATGGAAAAATAAATTAAAATGAAGAAATACCCCGGCTGTCTTTGTGCTTTCTCCTCTGGATTTTGTGGGACTAAATTTCTGTGGGACATTTTCCCTGTTGCTCTATACGTGAGGGACTGATTCTCAGGCCCTTCCTCCCAGCCTGAGGCCCTTGGCCCTCATGGAGAGGAAGGGACCTTAGCGTAGATCTCTGGGAGGCCAGTTTGGGCATCTGCTAAGCACAGCTTGGGGTCAGTTTGACTTCACAGCGTACTGGAGTTCTGTGGTAGTGGTGAGTGGGCCTCGGCTGCATGGTCACTCGGAGGAAGTCATGGGCCTGGGGCCACTCCCGGCCCCGAAAGTCCTTGATTCTAAGATCCGATCAGCCAGACATTCTCAGATTCCTGGTTACCAACCATTGGCGGACTCTGTCCTGTGTGGAGGACGCTGGAGCCCTGACCACTTGTGCAGAGACTGGGTGCCCCGGGATTACCAGGTGGCTCTTGGCCCTTGAGAGAATGCTCTGGGAGGAACTGTAAGCCAGGCTTTCCTGCTTGGGGCTGGAGGTCCCCTCAGCCCAAGGGCTTGAATCACACCCTGGAGTTTGCTTGCAAGAGCCCTTTGAAGCGCCCTCTGCAGGAGTTTCCTTGAGACTGCAGTGCTGCTTTTTGTCTTTTCCAGGTCCCTCTTCCCTTTTCCTCTCTCTGCAGCCCCAGGAGCATGGCCTCAATATACCACTGATGCATAAATCCTGTTTCAAGGTCTGCTTGGAAGCCCACCCTAAGGATGGTGCTGGCGGGGGTCTTAGGAAGTGTATTGTGGGTTTGGATCCCTGATCCTGTTACAGGATCCCCTTGGGGGTGGCGAGTTGTGCCCTCTGGCTGCTGTATTGATGGCCAGGATGAGACCCCACCAGGTGGGAGGAGAGAGCCCAGCTCCTGCAGTAACTTAGGTCCTCGAGATATGTGGGAACAATGGTTATTACAAGGACTGTGGGATTCATTAGTGTTGCTGAATAGTTAATGTCATGATGGGGGAGATGAGCAGTTCTGGCCCACTGTTGTCAACTTCAGGCAAGAGGGACAGTCAAAAGGCCTCAGGGCAGAGGCCCCCAAAGGGGCCCTCATTCCTTCTGTTAAAAGCCAACACCAGGGCCAGGCACGGGGTTTGATGTAAGGGAGGTGGAACTTCAGAGGAGGCTGCACCGTGCCTATGTCAGGGCCTGGCATGGAAGGAGTGGGGACTTCTGGTTTGGAGTAGACAGTGAGTGTTCACTTGATGTCACTGGTAAGTTCTTGGAAACTGGCTTTATGACATAATGACATAACGAAGTGACATAATGAGACCCGTTACCAGAGGTTAATCGATGTCAAGTTAAGTTGCTATAGCTATCACAGAACATCACTAAATATCTAAAGATCCCAAACACCCCTAATATTCAGCAGTCATTTGTAATCATTCATTTTCCAACCCACTTATTCCAGGCCAGGGCCAGAGTCTCTCCAGGGTTCGGGCTCAAAGCAGGGCTGGACCCTGAGCAGGATGCCCTTCCATCACAGAGCACATCACACACCCACACTCACTCCAGTTGGGATCTCGAATGCTCATTTTGGGAATGTGGGAGGACACCAGAGTCCAGAGGGAAACCCAGGCAGATGTGGGGAGAAGGTGCAGACTCCACCCAGACAGTGGCCTTAGCCAGGAGCCCATTATTTTTTCTCATCAACTTTGTAACAGAACAGCATTATTCATGGAGCTGCTGTACTTAAGAATACCCCTAACCCTTGGGGCTTGCAGAAGTGATCCAATTCCCCTTGCTAAAAATTTCAGCTGTGCCCCCCACCCCCCAAAGAGCATGCAGAGATATCGTTGGGCAACTGCCTTTCAAGACTACCACCCAATCTCCTGCAATCTGCTCCCACCTTGCTAGTCAGTGGTCCTGTGGTCCCAGCCCTGGCCTGACTGGGGAAGCGCAGGGAGAGGCCCCAGGGGTCTTTGCTCAGGACTTGCACATACTGGCTAACATGACAGGCGGGAACAGGAGTGCGTGCCAGGGGTGGGGGTGGAGGGGAGGTAGCTGAGGTGGGTGGGAAATGGGCCTGGAGAGAGGGGGGTTCATAGACCCCTAAGGGCTCCCCTGTGCACCACTGCACTATGCTCTGGCAGTGGTTCCTGGAACCCCCCAATGCTCTGTGGATGAAGCTAGAAGGCACTCCCTGCACTACAGAGACAGGATCTGCTGGTGAGGGGCACCGGCCTCACTGAGGCTGTTTTCCACAGGTGGGGGCTGAGCTACAGGCGCTGTGGTGGAGTTGGATGCTGTCAGCACAGTGCCTAAAGTGGCGCTTTCCACTAGGAAAGGTGGACACGTTGCAGAAATGTGCGTAAGGTCAGAATGGGAGGCCCAGACCTACGGGGACAGCTCATGGACCATGGAGTCCCGGGGCAAAGTAAGTGGGCAGCCAGCTGGGTATTGCTTGACTTTATTTCTCCAACCCCCCTCCAAAAAAAAGGTCAACTGGTAACTTTCAACGCTGATCTCGGTTTCCTTGGTAGAAAGTCACGATCGCGTTCCGGTTACTAGATCCAAGCCAGTTCCAGGCCAGAACTCACAGGAGAAGCCCAGTCCCCTGAGGGCTTTATAACGTCACAGTAGACAGTAGTGGCTTCCTCAGTCCTTCCCCATTCAGAGAGTCACTCCCCCGAGTAAGCATTCACACAGGGACTATCAAGATGTTTCAACCAGGGGCTCCAAGTTGCCCCACCAGGACCTGGGGGAGGATCGGAGCATCAGCGAGGGCCTCGGGCCTACTTCAGCAGCAGGCCTTTGGTCTGCTAACCCTTCTCTCATCTGTGTTCTCCACCCAAAAGAGAATTCAAGTGAGGGGTGAGCATGTCTTTGTGGAGCAAGGAGTGGCCTGGGAGAGGTGGATTCTCTGCCCACATCTCCTTGGATGAGTCTTTAAAAAAAAAAAAAAAGATTTATTTATTTATGCAGGACTGGGGTACAGGCCAGAGGTACAGGGGTGGTGAGCGATTCACCAGATTCACACGGAGAAAGCAGAACAGGCAGATCAGCGAAGTACACTGCTGAGGGGAGCAACAGTTGAGACAGGAAAGGTCTGCCGCGCCATGTGGGTCACTTCTGGTGCTGAGGGTCGAACTCATGCTGAAGCAGCTGCCGCAAGCTTCACAATACTGCACTCTGACCCGTGAGCCACCAGGGAGGGCTCCCCCAACCCCTGCCTCCCAGCAGGGCCCCGCAGCTCATCCACACACTCAGAGCCGGGGACTTGCCCACTGCCCTTTCCCAGGCCAGGACAAGTCTGACAAGCCACCTCTGTGCCAAAGGCCCCCTGGGATGATGTGTGAGCCTCCTTCCCTGGTGGCGCTGGGCCTGAGGACCCCACCCTCTTCCTGTGCTGCACCCCCTCTCTCACTGGTCTCCCCAGCTCTGTTTCCTTCATTCACCATCAGCACACAGTGCCATGGTCTGCTGCTGGGAAACCTGCCCAGAGACAGCTGCCTCGGTGGGCAGATGGGTGCATGGAAGCCTGTTGGCCCGTGGGAAACACAGGGAATGTCGGCCAGCCCCCGCCCTGCCACGCGCTGAGTGAGAAGAATGCTCAGGCCAGCTCTCAGCAGATGTCTGTCTTTGAGGCTGTCCCTGGATTCCTAAAACCTTTGTAAATTCCTGTGTGATAAGAGCACAAGGAACATCTGCTCTACGGAGGAGGCCGGGTGGGCTCCTGGAGGGGGCTGCTCACCAGAAAGACCCAGGTCTGATTAGAAGCTTGGAGTTTTCGGCCCTCCCTGGTGGCGCAGCGGGTTAAAGCACTGCACTGAGAATCTAAAGCCGCTTCCGCATGAGTTCGATTCCCACCTGCCCCGGAGGTGACCACATGGCGTGGCAGACCTCTCCTGACCTGCCCGCTGCTCCCCTCAGCAGTGTACTTAGTCCATCTGCCTGTTCTGCTCCCCACTCTGTCTCTGGTGAAGCCTCTCGCCGCCCCTGAGCCTCTGGCCTGTACCCCAGTTCTGTATGCACAAATAAATAAATCTTTAAAAAAAAAAAAAAGAAGCTTGGAATTTTCAAACCTGCTTCCCCCCCACCCTAACTTCTCCAAAGAAGCGACAGGGGCTGGTACTAGAGTTAATGATTAATCATGCTCGTCTGAGGAAGCCTCCATAAAATCCCAGTCATGGAGGCCATAGAGCACCAGGCTGGTGAACTCATTCCCAGTGTGGGGGGTCATACCCCCAGCTCCACGGGGACAGAGGTGCCTGCACTCGGGACCCACCTGACTTCCACCCCAGGTATCTCTTCATCTGTTTGCTCATCTGTATCTTTTACCATATCCGTGAATAAACTAGTAATCAACTAAGAGCCACTCTAGCAAATTAATTGAATCGGAGGGGGTGGCCTACAGGACCCTCCAATCTCTAGCCAGCTGGTCAGAAGGACAGGTGATGATGTCACCTGTGGGGGTGTAGGGCAGCTGGTAGAATTGAGCTCTGGGAAGATAGTGTCAGTATTGAGGCAAATTATGAGACTCTGCTGGTGTCAGAGAATTGCTTGGGGTAGGGGACACCCTCCAGGCATTTGGTGACAAGAAGTGATGTTTCTGTGAGGTCAAAGAGACACACATTAGGGAAGGACTGGGGTTTCTCCTGACATGAAGGGAAAACTGAGCATTTTCTTTTATAGTAGGTGAAGGCCTGGATTTGAGGGTGGGGAGTGAGGGGTAGAGAGCCCAGGTTTGTTCCAGGTGCAGACAGATGACCCCAGGTGTTGAAGGGCATTGGCTGAAGAGGTCACAGCCCAGTGCAGGAGGCAGACACAGACAAATGGTCATATAGTGCAAGGGATGTGGGCCATGGGGTGAGAGTTGTTCTCATGGGAGTCTTGCTGGGTCAGGGGTGTTTGCAAGGTGAGAACTGAGGTGGCTGGAGGGGGAGGCACCCAGATGCCACATTATATGCAGAGGAGCAGAGCCCAAGAACAGCCTGACGTCAGGAATGGTGCATGTGTCTGGGGG